AACAATGAGATCATGGAAGATTTCGTTCATCATGGCCTGGAAGGTCACAGGGGAGTTGGTGAGGCCGAAGAACATTACCAGGGGTTCATACAGTCCCCGGTTAGTTACGAAGGCAGCCTTCCATTTGTCACCGGCTTTGATCTGGACGTTATTGTATCCCCATCTGACGTCGAACTTAGTGAAGAGTGTGGCGCCTCAGAGCTTATCTACCATCTTGGCAATCAGAGGCAGCGAATAGTGATTCTTGATGGTGATCATGTTCAACTGGTGGTAATCCTGCATGGGTCAAAGTGTCCCTTCCTTTTTTTTAATAAAGAAGGGGGACAAAATGGGCGACTTTAACTCCTGTATGTAACCCTTTGCCAGCTGCTCCTTTAGGAACTTATCCAGTTCCTCCTGCTCATTGTTCGACAAGGGGTATACTTTTGAGTGGAATGTTGAGTAGCCAGGCACGAGTTCAATCACATGATCATACAGCTTCCTCTTGGGTAACTGTTCTAATGCTTCCTTGGAGAAGACATTTAAGGAACTCGTGGTACTGCTTCAGCACTAACTCCTCGGTGGTCTTAACGACTTTCTTTTTGATCTTTTCTTCAGCAAACAGCTGGGAATATGTATGCTCTGCTGCGACAAATAGCTGAGGGGTGCCTGGAAGTGTGATGCCTTGCTCCCAGGCTTTGATTAGATTGGTCTTGTCCCACTTGATTTCCTCCGAATCTTCTTCAAGTTTGAAGTCTGAGAGTACCTTACTCCGGCAGGCACCGATGACCGACTGTTTGGACTTTGGCGAACACCTGCGCACCGTGGGCCTAACCCCCGTATTACGTGCAGTTGCCGCTTGCTCCATTCAGCCAGTTTTCCTGGCACTGCACGTTTCAGGGCATCGTGACAGCTTGAACGAGCCTGTCTCCCAATCAATTTCGGGGCTGTGCTCACATAGCCAATCCAACCTGGCGATCACATCCTCTGGACCTATGTCCATAACTGTGAACACCGTCTTCTTGACGTGATCTCCTATCTGCATCTGTAGCACGGCTACTTCCGAGATGCTTCCATCTTTATTGAGCATTCCATCGATATTGTAGAGTGGAATTGGTTCCTTCACTTTCCGCATTTGTACTCGATTCTCCATGATGAAACACTTGTTGATAAACTTTGTGGTGGCTCCGCTGTCCACCATTGCGACTATATCTTTGTGCCATCTTTCTCCTTAGAGGCACACTGGGATGTGGAAATGCTGGGACTCATGGTCCAACTCGTAAACATTCGCAGTCGCCAATACATTGTACAAATTGTTATTATGAGGTCTGACATGTGCAGCACAAAGCACGGATCAGATCAAAAAGACTCCTCTTTCATCGCCCGATAGTGTTTCAACTCTTTGCACATCAATTTCATCTGTGCTATCAAGTCTGCCAGCTCAGATGGCTCTGATTTCGCTGAAGTTATGATTCCTAAGATACGAAGGATGAGTCTTATGTGGAGCCAGGATGTAATGATCAATTGCACCCTAAGTGTGAGAACCCATCAATACAAAGTGGTAAGAAAAAGAGCCCATAATATGGGGTTAGGGGGTTTTGTATACAAAGCTTGTTATGTTCACTCTAATCACATTAGAGCTGCTTGTTACCAGTAACAAAATCCATTAGAAAGTGGAATTCAAACCCAGCCGACATGACTTGACCAAACAACCAAACAAAAGATCATCTTATCAGTTGCCTGATTTGGTATTGATCTGTTCAGTCAGTCTTATTGGCTGTTGATCAAGCAGTGATTTGATCATTTCATAGTTGTTTGTTTATCATAATCAACTATGTTCTTACTGCATTACAAGCACATAGTATGATCATATTAGAGATTCATAATTAGAATCCTCATTATTGATAACAGGAGCATACTCAATAGAAGCAACATATTCACTATATGTGTTTTGTGCAAATCTTGTTTTCCATTTTGTGACTTAAGTAAGCAAGTGTACACACTGGAACCACTGGTGTCCTACCCCTAGAAAGGTGCTCTACAACTATTATATAAGGCAATTTTCTTTTATGGAAGTGGCTTACTGTGCTCTATTGGGTTTGCGTTAATCTACTATTGAATTATGTTGCCTATAACTATCAAAGATACCAACTGAATCTATCAAGTGTACAACTATTCATTTATATACACCAAACTTGCTTTATGCGCCGCATTCAAATCTGTATTTTGCATTTTGAGGCTTAAGTAGGTAAGCACAAGTGTTGGGACAAATTTTGCCATGCTTAGAGAGTGATGCTCTACAACTTTGGTCTCTACCATATAAGGCAATTTCCTTATATGGAACATTTATTGTTTCCATTCAGTAGCTTTTGAATGGAATAAACCTTATTGTGGTAAGTATAACTGTAACAATTTACTGTAATGGCATAACAAAGTATTTGTAATGACAATAAGAAAGTGTTTGTATTGATCATAAGAACTTACTCTAGTGATGATAACAACTTACTATATACAGTCATTATCACAAGTTGTGTCAATGGTTCTATTATAATAAGTATAAGAAAGTTTAACATTGAGTATATAAACATACTTTAATAACATATAAAATCACCCTAATCATTATAATAATCTACTTCAATGTTCATAATAATCATAAGAAGTTGCTTTAATGACTGTAATGATTTCAATGACCATAACAAAGTATTGTTATTGCTATAATGGCCAACTTTATCCATCAAAATGACTCACTCTAAGGTAATTATAGCGAGCTTCTACAAAGATTAGAGCAAGTTATTACCAGTATTGAAGCCATTCATGTCATTATAACAACTCTCTAATGATTATAAGAACCCACTATAATGATCATAAGAAGTTGTTGTAATGATCATAAGAACTCACTCTAATGTGCATAAGAACATATTGTAATCAGCATAACAGTCTACTTAATGATCATAACAACCTGCTTAATAACCCTATAACAAAAGGTGTTGTATTGATTATAAGATTTTACTATAATAACCACTACAATGACCATAAGAACTCACTTTTCATGATGATAACAACCCACTCCAATGACCCTAAGAAAGTGTTTGTATTGACCATTGGAAGGTATTGTAATGGATATAAGAACTGGTTCTAATGACCATAATAAAGTGTTCCAATGACCCTATAAAGTTGCTTTAATGATAGTAACAAAGTACTGTAAGGACCATAACAACTCACTGTAATGACCATAAGAACTTATTATATATAACATAATAATATACTGTGATCATCATAAGAATGTGTGTGTGTTAGGCATTATGTGAGCCATCAGAATCTACTTAATAATTATAAGAAAGTATGCTAATGATGTTCCAATTACTGTAATCCCCATCAGAATCAATTCAATAACCATTAGAATCCGCTCTATTGACTATAAGGGTGTATATCATGCTTGCTGTAAGGATGTATTCAAATGAGCATAAGCATCCGCTCTATTGGCTATAAGCACAGGCTGTATTGAGCATAGAAAGATGCTTACACAGCATAAGAATGCAATGTAACAGCAGTCTGTGGCTGGATCAGCCACCCGGAGTTTGAACCCCGGCATTCCGGCCTCCCTTCGGAGTTCGAAAAAGACGTCAATATATCATGTTCTGAACCATTTGTAACAGTTGAAGGTGCAGAAAGACAGTTTGTTAGTTATTTATTTCCATTATAAATCATTATATACAGAAATATAAAAGGGTAAATCTTTATATCATCTTGGATTGGATAGTTGGATAGAGTTATAGTTGCAAGCATCCTTAAGTAGAAAAAAAGGCTTTTGTTTATCATAATGCATGTTTAAGTGCATACCTTTAATCTCATAAAACAAGAATAATGTGATCGTGAGAACTTGCTTAGTCATACTTTTTTCCAGGTCAATTGCCACGTCACCTTCTGCTCAACGATCCTTGTGTCTATCAACAGGCGATGCAGGGAGCAGTTGCACAGGACTAGCACTGAAGGACTGAATGCCACAAGTGGGGCTGAAGTCGAAGTGGGTCACAGAAGTATGGATTAAAGGGTCGCTACAGAGCTCTTTATATACATGAGCAAGGGAAAGCATTCCCACGGCAGAACAATAAGGTAAAGAACAATAGAGTCCAAAAGTAGAACAAGGGCCACTTGGCCACAGGAACAATGGAACAAAAGAAGTGTGGCCGGAGCTCTGCTCTTGTCCGAATGCTCCGCAACTGATACAACCATGTGGTCATATGGTGTGGTGGCTCCCGCCACCGGGGGATCGTCCTAGGCCGACCAGGGGACTGTGGCAGAGCACATTGTAACACAAACTCCCTGGGGTTGGTATGTGCAGGGTTGGCAATGTACAGCAAAATATTGCTATAGGTAACAATGTCCTGGAATGCTCTGATGACCTTTGTTAGCTCATGCATAGAACAAAGGATAAGACACTTACTTGAAGTCCATGTTGAGGTTCTTGACAATGGTGGAAAACGTAACAGTCTTGATGTCCGCATTTGTATTAACAAAGCTTGGAACAACAAACATTAGTAGATAGTATGCAGCAATAGTAGGTTGCATATGTACGACATAGGATGAACACGATCATAAGTCTGGGTCAACATGCCATCAATGAGTTTGTTGTCCAATATCAGGCATTTCCTTCAGAATCAATCAATCAATTGGAAATATGTCATACAAGCAAAACCACTTACTTGCGATGTTCCTCAGTAGACTCAAATTCATTCCTTTGCTGTAATGTAAGTATAAACCAACAACATACAAGATAGTGAATGTACTTGTCAAGCAGCTTGTCCAGAACAGCCCTTGTGTTTGTGAACGGCCTACAGAAAATGTAAGCATAAAAAATAATGATAAAGGATACTAACATACATTTCGGTGTTCTTGTTGGCCTTGGCCTTGACAGGTGACTTTCTACTAATAACAATCAATGATGTTCATGGCCATGTTTATAAATGATATGTACCCCTTTGCTTGAAGACTGGTGATTGTCTTTGTGGATAAGCTAAAAGATGTCAGTCAACATACTATACAAACAATACATAATACGAGATGTACAACACATCCTGCCTGGTGCGTCTGAAAACAAGTCAGGTTACATTGAAGAAGTAGAGAAAAGACACATACTTGGGCGTCATTAAGGACATCAGCTCCTCCTCCTCACTATCATTGACCACAGGTGTATCACTATCAGGTAAAATTGTATCAGTACAACCAGAAGCAATTGGTAGTACAAATACACCTTCACCAATGCCTGTGAGGAGTCCAATCAAGGAAGACATTGTCCTCCTCATCAGAGATGGGATAAGAACCACCCTTGTCATCCTCGTCAGAGCTATCATGATTCTTCCTGTGAATTGGACAATGTTCAGTGATTACACTTGTCCATGGAAGATAAATGATACTACCTGATATTTCTGTGCATCTTCTTAGTGGGAGAACCTCTGACACATCATAGATATAAGTATATATTGTACAAAAGGTGATGATAATATGTACATATCCTCAATAGCAGGTGATGTGGCATCCCTAAGCATAGTCATATCAGAAATAAAACATATATAAAGCAAATAGACATACCTTTTGACCGCAGTCTTTCTGTTAAACGCAGTATAAGACGGCTATCAACTGGCAGATAGTAAACCTTACCTTGGTGACGGTGTCAGAGGTGTAGACGGAGGGTTTCTGTTACACCTGCAAGTAATAATAAGCAAGACACACTTACATACAATCAATGAACAAACCTTTTGACCGGACTCTCCGATGCAGAGTCCACAATATCCCAGTCCGGACTTGGCATTGTAAGATAATAAACATAATAGTAATGAGTATGAATGTACCTGGCGAGCTTCTTGTTGTTGTCAGAATCACTATAATGCAATGTTTAGCAGATAAACAAACAAGTAAAGAAAATGACATATGACGCATCCTTAGACCCTTGCGCAACATCCTCCTCCTCCTCCTCCTTTTCCTTTGGACCACGACCACGACGACCAGTGATTGTAGACTTACTATCTTCCTCCCTGAAAAGGGTATGAGTACAATCAAATAAACTTCAATTACAACAACATACACCTCAAAGTCAACATACGGTGCAGACTTGACCTTGCGACCACGCTGAGAACCACGTACACTGATGACAAAAGATGCATCATTACTTATATGAAAGGTCAAGGCAAAAACACATACGACTTGCGTCCCTGGGTTGTCTTGGAAGCAGGAGCCATGATGGTAGCAGCACAATGAGAGGTAGAAGGACGATGAAAGATAGAAGAGAACTATGCACAGGCAAGCCAATTATACCAGCTTGATGGATTATTTGGTTATATTTAGTCTGCCACCATGTCGATTCTGATTTGCTAGACGACAATGCTTACTGAGCTGTCATGTGATGTATGACTTGGGTGATGTGGGCAAACACAACCCTAGGCAGAACACTCTGTGACGTTCATTCCTTCTGCTACTGCAATGGCTGTCTATAAGTTGCATGCTGATCCTGTTAAATTCAGTAAGCATATGGGATTGTAGTAGCCTGTATATTTTACCTACAGTATTATAGAACAGCTTCTGCAGACAGAAATGGATCTTGCAATCAATGGAAAGTGTTCAATGCAACCGCTGTCAAAGTTTGTTGATGTACACCTTTATTATATTGTTTCATTACTTTATAACCATTGGGTTCAGTCTGACAGAGTGCGGGTTGCCACTACACTGCATGATTACAGTGTAAATGAACCCAAAGTGCTGGTCTATCCTTCTGGTGACGATGACACTGGCCCAGATGAGGTGGTGTTGAACATTCAGGGCTATCTGCTGAATAGAAGGCTACCACCCATTCTTTCAAAGACAGAGTACACATTCTGTATATGTGATGGGACTATGCTGACTATACTACAGCCTTGCATCGACCAGAGTCATCCATTCTGAACAATATGTTCACTTGGGTGGTCTAGGTGCTGAAAGCTTTGATGCCGTGGCTGTTTCTGTAGCTGAAATTCATCAGTATATGGGCACTCATGTTGGTTCCAGTGGTCTAGCTGGATGGGAGGTCAAGTGGGAAGGCGGTCACATTGTTCTGGACTTTCACAACCGCTATCTGATGCCACATAGCAAGGTGCACACCTCGACCATTCTGACTATTCCTGAGGAGATGGACCCTTATCATATACTTCGTAACCGGATAACAAATGAGGTCTACACTCAGGACAATGAGGTCAAGTACTTTGAGTGTACCAAGGAAAGCCATAATGGGATCATGTGAGTGTCCTGTTCATACGTACTATATGATACTAACTGTCCAGTCTATTGAGTATCAGGTACTTATTGCTTGCTTCTCATCAGGAGCTGAATCAGGAGCATCTTTGCTCTATGATGGGTAGTTCATCCTCTCTGAAGAAAGTGAAGCAGTGGGTGGACTATGAGGAGAATAGTGATGTGGAGGAAGCTCAATCTGACCTAAAGTGCATGCGTCTTGACTCTGTAGATGAGCTGTATCAATCATGTTGTGTCTGCCTTTGACAAATGCGCCCAAAGTTCAACTGGTTTAACACAAGTGCATGATACACAACAAATGGCAAATGCTATCTAAGCTTTTCTATCTACCCTTTGGTACTTGCACAACAAATGCTCAACCATGAAAACATCAAAGGTAATACTAGCCTTTTGCTGGTCAGTAAGGCTACTGTTCAAGAAATTGTAAACACCTTCAAATGCAGCTTGTACCTCATCAGGGGATGCAAGCTCCTGAATCAAAGCACACTCCAGCAAACCTTGCCTAGCTCCCTTCTTCATCTTCCCCACCATCTGACCCATCTCCTGCACAGTAGGGAAGGTGACTTTACCAGCATAGCACAAGTCACCTGCCAGAAGGAGGGCATTCAACTGCCTAATTTGAGGGAGAATCTTCTTACCACCAGAGGTACCAGAAAGCACCCACTGGAGAGCAGTAGGGAAGCTTGCCTTGCCACCCACTGCATGATCCTCCAGGAACTTGTGCCACAAAGGTTCTGCAGCAAAGTATTGAGCTGCTGTACTGGGAGAGTGACCTTTTGACCAAGTCCCATAGGCACCAGGATCACAGAGTATCAATAGGCGATGCAGGGAGCAGTTGCACAGGACTAGCACTGAAGGACTGAATGCCACAAGTGGGGCTGAAGTCGAAGTGGGTCACAGAAGTGATATTACAGGTCGCTACAGCAGCCCTTTATATACATGAGCAGGGGAAAGCATTCCCACGGCAGAACAATAGAGAAAAGAACAATAGAGTCCAAAAGTAGAACAAGGGCCACTTGGCCACAGGAACAATGCAACAAAAGAAGTGTGGCCGGAGCTCTGCTCTTGTCCGATTGCTCCGCAATTGATACAACCATGTGGTCACATGGTGTGGTGGCTCCCGCCACCGGGGGATCGTCCTAGGCCGACCAGGGGACTGTGGCAGAGCACATTGTGACATACCCCCCCTGATCTGCCAAGTCCCACAGGGAGACTAGGACACCTCAATACCCATCCCAGTGCGACAGAATGCGACCTTGGGGGC